AATGTTAAAGCGCTACCACAGCAGCGCTTTAACATTATTGCCCCTTTTGCCCTCCCCCCCCGGGCCGCCGACAGAACCCCGGGGGGGGAAGTGAGGGGCATGAGCCAGGCAGCATTGATGGGCTGGCTTGGGGAGGCTGACCCCCCCAGCCCCGCCTCTTCTGCCGAGGCCCCGCCCCTTCCAGGGTCCCAGAGCCAGGCCCCCATATGGTAAGTACTTAATGTTACTATCAGCGGCAGAAAGTGGAAATTAGAAGGGTTGGGGTAGAGTTAAAAAAATAAATGTTTAAAAGCAGTAAAGATACAAGCTACTGTGTGTCACAGTTCTTGGGTTGCTGACGGGCACCTCCTGCTGTCTGAGGCTGCAAAACCCATAGCCCCCCACCCCCACCCTCACCCCCCAATCTGCATAAACAGGAGTCTCTGTGATGCAAAATTGAGGCAAACAGTCTAACTGTATTTGAAGGGGATGGGGCTCCTGGCTCCCACTCTCCAAGTCCTTTCAGTACAATCCAAGATTCCCTACCCCTGGAAGGGGTAGAGGATAGTGGTACCGACTGCTTAACAGCTCACCTGAGGTTTGCTGAACCTATCCTGCCTGTCCAGTATATCAGCGTCTGTTGTCTGCTTGTAGGTACAGGGAAGATCAGTGGGTGAGCTTCTCAAGGGCAGTTTCTGTGAAGCCTTCCAGGATCCCCTCTTAGGAGCTGCTGTCTGCTTTCTCCCAGAGCTGCTCAACAACTGTCTGGAACAACCGGCTTTTAAACTGTTATTCCACCCCTGACATGATTGACAGGGCTAGAGAGGCGGGGTCAACCTTGCCCACAGTAGCCCTTTAACCAAATTTGTCACTAGTGGGGGGCTTTATACACCCTGTCACAGTATGACGGAAAGCAGATGAACCCAACAATGGGTAGGGTAGTGCAGAGTCCATCGAGCACAAAAGCAAATGGGAATTTTTTAAAAATAAGATTTGAAACTCAGATATCACTAGGGGAAGAGGAGACAGATGGCAAAGGAGGAGGTGAATGTATAGTGAGCAGAGAGATATGAAGTCAGAGATACAGGGTGAAGTAGAGTCCATGGAGAGTTTTAAAAATCAGGAAGAGAAAGTTAAATTTGATTCAGAGACTTCATAGGAAGGCAAGGTGATGGAGGATGGGTGAGAAGAGAGTTATTTGGCTCTCAGACACAACTGTGATGAGTGCATTAAAACAGACAGCTAGGTTCTTGCATGCTAGATCAAATCTGGCTACAGCTGTCTGGACACTTTCAAATTTAAGAAGTAAAGGGCATGAATTCTCCTCTCTGGAGTGACACTGGTGATGTCAATGAAGATACTCCTATTTAAATTGCTATGAGTAAGATCACAAACTGGCCCTAAGGATTTAGAACAATCATAAAAGAAGGAATAACAGGAAACTAATCAGCAAGTGATTAAGCAATGACAAAGTATTTCAACAGAGCAAGGGTCAAGGTAAGGATGAATTCTGTTAATATTGCAGAGATCATGATAAGCAGATTTACAGATGAGGAAGATGTGGGAGGAAAACAGTCCAGATTCCTGGCTTTGGTTCCAAAAAGTGTCTGAGTTAAAGTGATTAATAGTGGAATTAGAAATGCTGGACAAAAAGGAACTCAGGAGGAGTTGGTGACTCTTTGAAGCATTCAATAACAGGAAGTTATGGAACTGACAAACAAGACAGGGAGCTGTAAGGGGATCAAAGAGTGAGTTGATGGACACAGAGAGATGCTTCATGTCTGTGTATCTGAGTGAAACGTTTCTATTTTGTTAGTTATGTAGGCATCCATCACGGCTCCATAGTTAAAGCTGATTTGAGTTTTGCACTTAGAGCAGGGATTCAACCATTTTATTGTGCGTGAAGAATACACTTTATTTTCCTCCCCGTTGCACCACTTACTCTTTGAATTATGAATGGATTTTTCTGAAATTTTACAAGTAAATCTGTCCGAGTTAAAAGTAATTTAAAAGGGTCCATTAATAAATTATGCTGCTGTGTGAGACCTTTTTTTGTCCTGAATGATCTTGTCTCAGACACTGTCAAGCTAAGCAAAAAGTGGCAAAGAAGCAACTCTTTAATAGATGTGGTGCAATGGGTAGGTTTTTAAAAGAAATGTTTAGGATTGATGGTCCTTTTTCCATGCTATAAGGCAGGGTTGCTCAAACTTCATTGCATCACGACCCCCTTCTGCCAACGATTATTACTACCCAACCCCGGGAAGGAGGAGACCTCGAAGACCGAGCCCCTCCACCCCAGGCAGGGGGACCAAAGCTGAAGCCCGAGCCCCGCCCCCTCTTGGGAGGGGGCGCAAAGCTGAAGCTTAATGGCTTCATCCCTGTGCAAGTGGAGACTGTAACCTGAGCCCCACTGCCCAAGGCTGAAGCCGTCAGGCTTTGGCTACAGTCCTGGGCAGCGGAGCTCAGACTTTTGACTTCATCCCCAGGCCCCAGCAAGTCTAAAGCCAGCCCTGGCGATCCCATTAAAAAAGGGTCACGACCCACTTTGGGGTCCCAACCCACAGTTTGAGAACTGCTGCTGTAAGGTATGGAAATGCAATATTAAAAAATCCAAACAGTCTTTAACTGTGAATTTCCAGATTTTGCAATGCTTGTGTTAGGTATATGTAATACACTGTACCTCAGAGAACCACCCTGAAACCCCCATATTCACCACTGGCATATAAGTATGACATGTTTTGTACAAAGTATACCTTGTGAGGTATCTTTTTAGAAGTCTTGATCTGTTGAACATTAATATCCTGTTAGATTGTATTTGCTGTCCTTGTATGTGCAGTTATGACATTTTGCAGTGTGTG